ATATTGCTTTCACTCCAATTTTCTCGATTTGTCTTTCGTCTGTAATTTTTAACCATCATAAAAACCATAAAATGTTTACAAATTTTTTTTTGATATTTCGGAGTATATATATCATAGTATATATATATATATATATATATATATATATATATATATATATATATATATATATATATATATATATATATATATATATATATATATATATATATATATATATATATATATATATATATATACATATATATATTTTTTATTTTTTATTTTTTGCCTTTCTTCAATATTTATAAAATTACAAGTTAAGATATAATAATATAAACAATTACAAGTGAGAATTTTTACTATATAAATAAAAAAAAAAAAATGCGGAGACTCGTAGAAGGCCTTAAGGTCTTGTCATCGAGAACCGCTGCAAACTCGTTACAAATTTACGTGTTAAATATTTTAAAATAAATAAAAAAAACTGTGTTCAACAATAATAGAAGAAAAACATAATTTAATAAAAAATAAATAAAAAAACTGTGTTTAGCAATAATAGAAGAAAAACATAATTTAAATAAAAATAGAAGTTTACAAATAAATTTCCTATTAAAAGTATAAAAGTATATTTTCAATAGACAAAATGATTTTCTTAAGTTTCCTTTTATATGAAGTATAAGTCCATTCATGAGAAAAGTCAAAATATTTCAAAACTATTTTATTTCAAAGAAAGGCTTCTCGGAAAGAAACACAAGATTTACCAAAATTTGTATGCGAAAATTGTAGCCGAATAAAATTATCATTTCGTAGATTGTACTTGTTTTTTTATTTTATTGAGTATAGGTTGTGAAAAGAAGAAGGGGAATTATTGGTTTAAATTTATACATAAAACAATATTATAAACATTAAGCTGATATATATTTAAAATATTCATTTTAAATAAGAGAGGGCTGCCATGAGTAAGACTTTAAAGTTTATAAGACGTGCAATGTGTTTCTGTTGACAATGAAGAGGTTCTAGTATACTTTTGTTCACACTACCCCCAAGCAATATTAGCGTAATTAATATGGCAGTGAATAAAGTAATAATATAGTTGAATTAAAGTATGTTTATTTAAGAAACTTCTTGATTTATATAATACTCCTGCAGTTCTAGCAATTTTGTTATTTAGATCGTTAACGTGATTTTTCCATTTAAGATTTTCATCAATATAAATGCGTAAAAATTTTGTAATTTTTATTTGCTTTTACAAAAGTCAACAAAAATAAGTGGCGTAATACTTGGAATTAATTTTTATTTTGAAATTCAGTAAAAAAGCATCCATTTAGTTTTTTCTATGTTAATTGATAGTTTGTTTGATTAAAACTAGACAGAAATTTTAATAAGCTCAGTGTTCATATTTCTAAATAATGTAATTAGATCATTCTAAATAATGTAGTTAGATCATTGCTGGTTATAAAAAGATTAGTGTCATCCGCAAACATAATTGTCATTAAGTTTGAGGCTTTGTAGAGATTATTGATGTATATTAGAAACAGTAATAGGCCTAGTATTAAGCCTAGTGACACTCCACATGTTGTATTTAATAAATTTGATGATAATGATGAGTCTATTTGAATAAACTATTTACGATTAGTTAAATATTTCTTCAGTAATAATAAAGTATTTCCAGTGATTCCATAATGTTCTAGTTTGTTATAAAGATTTTCATGATCTATAGTATCGAAAGCTTTCGATAGATCTATGAAAATACCTAATGTGTATGTGATATTTCAAATGAATCGGCAATACTTCTTGTTAGTTGAAGTATTGCATGTTCTGCAGAATTATTTTTTTCATATTGGTTATTATATAATATTTTGTTTTCTGATAAGTGGTTATAAATTTTATTATATAATATTCTTTCTAAAATTTTTGAAAAAACTGGGAGAACTGATATTGGGCAATAATGACTGAGGTTAGTAGGTTTCCCTCCTTTGAAAATTGGGGTAACTCTAGCTATTTTGAGTTGGTCCGGAAATACTTCTGAACTGCTTGGTTTATTGAGCATGCAAAGACCCTAATGAGAATATTTTTAATTATGTCATATGAACCAATAACAATATTACCGTTTACATCGTCTGGACCAATTTATTAGACTTAAGCATTTTGAAAGTAATCTCAAATTCATCAAAAAAAATTTTAAATTTATTTAGAGAAGATATTTCAGGGGAAATCAAATCTTTTTTTGAACTGATTGAATTATTAATTATAGGGATGTTTTTGGCTAAATTTGGTCCAACTGATACAAAGAACTTGTTTATTTCGTTTGCTATTATGTTAGGGTTATAAAATATTTCAGTATTTTTTTAATTGCCTTTGGCAATGAGCATATTTCCATTTTATTGTTACAAGTGATTTCATTACGAGTTGCCATTTTCGCTTAAAGTTTTTGTATTTATCAAATAATTCGGTGTAATAATTTCTTTTAAGGTTGTTTTTTTTTTTTTGATTTTCAAAATATATTAAAATTAAAATAACTGAATAATGGACTGTCTTATCTTTTCCCACAAAGACCGTGCACGGTCTTTGTGGGAACTAATACATGTGTTAAAAGCATAAAACTCTTTCTTTACAAATCAAATAAAGTTTTATTTTCTTTGTGGGGAATAAATAATAAAGAAATCTTTTTTCTAAAAACCACCTTTACGTAGATTTGGTGCCTTAAATAATCTCAAACTTAACATCCATCATTCAAACTTAACATCCATCTAGTTTTACAGTTTATGTATAAAACAAAAAGTGGAATGTCTCCAAAAAATTTTAAAAACTGTTTTGAAGAAAAAAACAATATGTATTCTACAAAAATTTCCATAAACAACTTCGATAAATAACTTTGTTGTACTTAAATCTTATTCAAAACTGAGTTCTTATTTAATTCCAAATCGCAGGCGATTGTGGAAAAGTTTTGGAAACATTGGATATTTCACTTAATCAGTTCAAATCAAAGCGGTTTTAATTACACACAGATTTTGATTTATCTTGTTTTAAATGTTTCTCTTAAAATAGAATAGTAAATTTTTTTTTTTTTTTGTTCTTTATTACATTTTAAAACACGACGTTTTATATATTTTATAAAATTTACAAGCTAAAATAAAAAAATATAAACAGTTACAAGTGAAGATATTTAATATATATATAAAAAGAACGCGGAAACTCGTAGAAGACCATAAGGTTTTGAAGTCGAGTACCGCAAATAGAAATATATTTTGGGAGGAATTTTGCAATTTTTCAGGTTTCGTAATTTAAAAGCAAAAACTTCACTGTTGAATAAGTCTTGCGGACGGTAATCCCGGATTTCAAAATTACTTGTTATGAGATCGCTATGATATGTACTAACCCCCCTCAAAGGGGTTTTCATAGGAGTTGTTTTCAAACTGTGCATTGTAAAACTCTTTAATGTTGTATTTGACGTGATACTGTAAACAATCCAAATTTAAATCACTAAAATAAAATCATCTAAAACACTACATCACACAAAATAAAATCATCTAAAACATCAACTAAAAAACAACTCAACTAATTTAAGTTAATCTTAAATTTCATTACCTCCTGTAAGTTCAAAAACTACAATAATTACTGACATTATTCATTACCATTCATCGCATTTTTTTTAAACTTTTGAGTTTTAACTTTTTCTTTTTCTTTCTTTCGTTTTGTTTGTTTAGTTGTTTGTTTTTTTATTAGTGAGCCATGCTATGTTAAGATTAAGACTTCCGTGTTCAAAGGCGTGTTAAAAATAATTATTTGCTTTTAACATATTCTTTAGGCTAAAACTAAGAAGAAAATAGATGCCAAAAAAAATTTATATTTAAGGCTGGGACCGTTGACGTTAAACTTATTACAATCAACAAAAAAAAAAAAAAAAATTGTAAATTTAAAAAGTATGTGTGCTTAAAAACACAGACCCAGAATTCACAGACTCGCATAAAAAGACTCGCATAAAAAAATGTTTTTTTTATCCCAGGTTTGCTATATATCAATAATGCATTTTGTTAATAGAGTTGTTGATAATATGAATTTTCTGTTAAAATCAATTATCTATTATAAAAAAATAAATAAAAGATCGTTCTACTGAAACTTATTTTTTGACATATTTTTTTTATTTGGCACATTGGCATATTTTTCATTACGAATAATGTTACGAATGTTACGAATAATGCTATTTTTCTCAAAAAGCAAATTATTTTTTTGTTTTTAATGATGCAAGGTTATTAAGCATTATCATCTTAATACTTTGAAATTATATAAATAATATCAAATTTAAAAAAATTACGTCAACAAAATAGGGAGGAGGGAGTCTTTTTTGACAATTGTTGACAAGGGAGGGGGAGGTCAATTAAAGTTAACGTCAACAGTTTTTCTTTTTTTTTTTTTTGAGTTTTATAGCTTAAATAACGGAAAATTAGGCTGAGTTTGTAGCGTAGCTTCTTTTTATAGAGGAGGGGGGGGGGTTATCAAAAATTGACGTATAGGGGGTCTCTAAATAATTTGTTGTCCATTAATTACGTCAACAAAAAATTTGTTGACGTAATTAATTGACAGCCCCTATAGAGGATTTAAGGCCCCTGCCTTCCACTGATAAATACATGAGATAGAACCGTTTTAAAACAAAAGCATTTAGTTGTACTTAACCACGATATGAGAAGAGATACCCAGAGAGTTATCATTATTGACGGAATTGCGTTGGTAAACAGAGTTCACTTAGGTGCTGAAATAAAAATTTGCGAAAGCAAAACTTTTTTATTCTAAAAATAACATTGTTAAAAAAAACATAGTATTTACTAAAATCTTTAAACATAAAAAAATTATTTAAGACTTAAACATTAAAAAGAATCTACTAACTCGAAAAGGATTAGAAGAAAGCGATGAATAATCAGCCAGGCGTTAGAATAAACATGTTATCTCAAATTAAATCGAAGGGGATCATGTGAACTACATGACCAGCAGCTTTACATATACCGCAAATAGATTACTTTATGTCATTAAAATAGCTATTTTTCATCTTTATAATCATTAAAATTTACAAAAAAATAGTTTACAAAAAAATAAATAAAAAAATAACAATAATAATAAAAAACTTAGACTTACAGTACACTATCTACACAGTACACATACAATAAAAATAGAATGTAAACACTTATATTCACACTTTCAAGACAAGTTTTTCAAGGTTAAACACGGGATATTCGACGCCTAATACCAAAATTAAAGCAATCGAGAAGGATAAAACAACAGTTGCAGCAAAATGGTATGCCTAAAATACACATAAAAGTTATACATACATATATATATATATATATATATATATATATATATATATATATATATATATATATATATATATATATATATATATATATAGTAGAAAATAAAACTACGTGATTTTCAAAACTTTAAGTTGCATGCTGTTGCAATCACCAGGTGAAATACAAATATAATTTGTCAGGTTTGTGGTTGCTCAATAGAAATATTTATATATATATATACACATATATATATATATATATATATATATATATATATATATATATATATATATATATATATATATATATATATATATATATATATATATATAAATCCATCCATATATATATAACCCATATATATATATGTATATATAAATCCATATATATATATATATATATATATATATATATATATATATATATATATATATATATATATATATATATATATATATATATATATATATATATATATATATATATATATATATATATATATAAATCCATCAGAGTGAATGTAAACCTACAGCTTTTTTGCATAACTCTTGATAGGCAGCTAATTTATTCTAATAAACAAATGAAATAACACAACTTTAAGTAAAATAAAAAAATAACAACAACTTACATAAGTCAAAAGCGTCATGTGTACTGCCACTTGGGAAGAAGCGAAAAATAAATAAATGACAAATGGATGAACTAAGTATGTTGAGTAGGATAAACGACTAAGGGGGATGAATGCTTTCCAACTCAAAATGCTGTTCACATAACCTTAAAATTATTACTTTCTTTTATTGTTTATACATCAGGAAAAAAAAAAATCTTGTTAAAAAAACAAAACAACACCTCCATATCCATTGTGGCATGCATATATAACCCAGCCAACAGCTAGACACCACACAAAACGGAATGAAACACCATAAGTTATGATTTCGGCTTTACTCCAGGTGTGTTTTGTTGAAGAATAAGGTCCGTACACAACAGCAAGAGCAACTGCAATTGAAACTCCCCACCCAGCTATATTTTTAGCCTAAAATATTTCAAACAACAGACTAAACAAAAAAATGGTAAATAAGTTAATGTAAACTTAATGTAAATATCATGTAAATTATACAGTAGTTCTTAAGAGTAGACTTAATGTATGACTTATCGAGGAGAATGGATGTAAAGAGTTGATGTAAATACCATGTAGATAATGTAAATAATCGTGGAAAATTGATGCAAAGAGTTAATGTAAATACCATGTAAATAATGTAAGTAATTGAGGAAAAAAAGACCTAGCAAAAAAAAGAATAATAATAAAAAAAAAATGTACACAGAAACCTTTATTAAATTAAATTTCAGAAAAATAATTAAACTATTTTTAAAAACTTTTTTATTTTATTTTGAAATTATTTGCCAAATTTTTAGTTTGTCTTTAATCATTTAACTTATAGTATTGGTTGTCATGTCTAAGGAATTATTTTGATTTTAAAGTTAATAAAAGGAAAAATAAAAACGAACCATTGCAGAAATCAAATAGTTTTTTGCAACCTATTCAACCTGAAATGGTTTTGATGTAACTAATAGAAATAGAAATCAAACAGTTTTTGAAAAAACTGTTTGATTTCTATTTCTATTATTTACATCAAAACCATTTCAGATTAATTTTAGTTATAAGCATTTATTTAAAAATACATAGAACTAATTAATTATATATACAATAAATATGTGCAATTATTATTATAATATAATTTTATTAGTTCAATGTGAAAAATATAATGCAATTTTTATTTCATTCTATACAAATATTGGTTTTAAGGTTGAAGTCTATCTTTGTTGAAACTACAGCATTTGATGTAAATTTTAGAAGATTTTAGAGTTAAAACTAAATAAAAACATAATTATATTTAACTTTTATTTTCAATAAAAATTCACTTTTGTGAGGGCTTTTTGTTGCCTATACAAACTGACTTACACAAGAGTGTAAGTCAGTTTACATAGGCAACAAAAAGCCCTCGCAAAGTACAATACAAAACAATGAGCGAAGTTAAGGGATTAAGGCTGATAAGAAAATGATTCACAAAGTTAACTTTCAAACAAAGTTAAAAATCTAAGTAAGAGATTGAGAACTATAAAAATATTTTAGGATAGAGAACCAACAGGGTCAACCTCAAGTTGTAACAACAAGACACTGTTCAGATGTTTACATCTACGCCAACCAATTATATTCTATGCATTTAAACTTCAGAAGTTCTTTGGATGTCTCTACAAGAGGTAAATAATATTTATTGTCCAAAAAGTAAGGATGCAAACATAGACCATACTTTTAAATGAGGATATTTTAGTGTTTTGTTGTTCCATTCACATAAAAAGCAGCTAAATTTAGTACAACCAAGTATTTGAGCAACTGCTTTTAAATTGCCACAAATTTTAAAGCAAATATGTACTGTATTTAATTTTTCATTGCATTTTTAAGCATTTATAAAACATGAACTTGAAAAAAATGAAAAAGGGAAATCTTTTCAAAAATACTTAAAATAACTGTTTTTTACAAATATTTTTAATTTTTACCTTTTCAAGTTAAGAAAATAAAGAATATAAAAATACTTTAAGTTTCAAAATTTTTTAAACTTTATTTTTAAATAATAATTGTACAATACTAGTTATGGTGCCCATTCTTCTGCACAACTGTCACTTATGGTTGAATTTCTTGTACTGAATTAATAGTCACCTGTTTTATGCAATACGCTTTTTACTTTTTAGCAAAACAAAAGTATATTTCTGGTGTTTTAGAAAAGTCAATGAATCAATGCAACTGTGAGGAATCAAAACAAATTTGTTTATAGGCACTGTTTACAAAGAAGTCAAGAGTGTATTAGAATTGCCTGTTTCAAGGAAAACATAGGATAGTATTGTATTTATAGACACTGTTTACAAAGAGGTCAAGAGTGAATCAGAATTGCATGTTTCAAGGAAAAAATAGAAAAGCATTGTATTTATAGACACTTTTACAAAGAGGTAAAGAATGTTGTAGATCTGCCTGTTGCAAGGAAAGCATGAATAGCATTGTATTAATAGACACTGTTTATAGCAGAGCTGTGGAGTCGGAAACGAAGTTGCAACATTTTTGGCAGAGTCAGAGTTGCTAAACAAAATCACAACTCCTACTCCAATAGTAAAACTTCTCGGTATTGTACGTGCATGTACAAAACATGCAATTAACCTTATATTCATATTAAACCTCAAAGAACGTTTTACAAATTTGTCAAAAAATTTTGCTTTGGAGTTGTAGTCGGAGTCGGAGTTGGAGTCAGAGTTGTACTCAAAAAAATGTAAACAACTGGAGTTTACTTTTTTTTTACGACTCCACACCCCTGGTTTATAGTGTTTTCAACAGTATTTTTACTGTTGAAAACACTATCAACAGTATCTATTAATACAATTACTAACAATAAAAGCGACAAAAGGCTAGCCTTCATAAAAAATATAATGATTATACAAAATAAAAAGAATAACTAAACAAAAAAATAAATGCAACAACAAATTTGAAATTTTCATTTTTAAGCAAATTAATGGCAAGAATAAATGAAAAAGATAAATGTAAAAAACATAAATATAAACAAAGTTAATTGAACATAATAAAAAAAAAAACGCATACATACATATTTTTTTTTAGCAAAAAATTTATATTCTTTGAAGAGTACAAAACCAAGAATCAGCCCAACAGCATAAGAAATAATGCGAGCATACGGCTTCATATAAATATTCTGTGTATAGGAAAGATAGCCAGGCCTAAAAAAAGAGTATTAAATATTATAAAGTAAATTTCAGATAATTCATGAACAATATTTGTGAAAAATCACAACTGTTATATTGTTACCAATAAAAAATGTAATGTATAAATATATAAAAATGTAATGTATAAATATATAAATAATGTAATGTATAAATACTCAAAAATATACTTAACAGCTAAGCAATCTTTAAAAATTAAGAATTTAAAAAAAAAAAAATTAAATTTAGTCTTTTTGATTAACTTCCTTATTATAAAACTTCCTTATTTAAGACTTTAGTAATAACAAACATTTTCAATTTTTGTCTAAATAAGCTATATAATACTAAAACTTAATTTTTATTCATATAAACCTTTCTAATCTTTTTAATTGCAACCAATGTGACATTTGGCAACATGTCTACTCTATACTACAAAGTAGAATTTAAAAAATGATAACTATACTAAAGTCTAGACATGAGAATACCACAGCCATATATTTATAAATAGTCATTTTTTTAATGTTAATTGTTGATCTAGTCTTATTTTTACAATATTCATCTTTGTAATACATGAAAACTAAAAAACTAATTTCTCTCTACAGTACAATGACTTCTAACATCTAAGATTGAAAAATGGCTCCAATAATTAGGAATTTTTAACAGAATAAATTATTACATACTTGGTCAACTTGTTTAATGTTTATATTTATATATTAAACATATTAGAGATGATCTAAAAAGAAATTATTATTACTATTATTACTATTATTAATACTATTGTTATTATTGCTATTATTATTATTATTATTATTATTATTATTATTATTATTATTCACAAAGAGTCATGTTAAAAATATTTATAGCCATATTTTGCAAAAGTTTTTTCATGCATATCTCAGACCAATTCAGATGAACAAAATTTTCTCATACTTCTTGTTTGATTACTTAGTGAATGTTTTACAGAACTGATTTAGCAGCATTTTTTAATATTGCCACAAAATTTTAAAAGTTTTCTGCCAAGTTTACAGGCTAACATTTTTGAATAAAAACTTTAAAGAAATCTAAAAGAGATTTTTATTACAAACTCAAAGCATTAAACTTACAAAACTATGTAAGTTTTCTGTAAGAAAACTTACAAAATTTTGTAATAATTTTTTTAATTCAATACAAAAGTAATAATTGAATTTTAAAAATAGTGATCTACGGAAATATCTTCTATACCTGCTGACACAGTAATAGAAAAGTGAATATAATCTTACATTGAGTTAGAACTAGATAAACTGGTAAAAAGAGATGATATTAGTGGATTTCCATCATAGTGATCTATCAACAAACCATTCGCAATCATACAAAGAATAATTATCGTTCCATTGATAATAAGAGTTCCACGTAGTTGGAACCTGCACACAAAAATTATATTTTTTACTCCAATTTGATTGGTTTTATGTTTTTAAGACATTAATAGATTCTACTCTTAACTATACCTATGCATAACATAAAGTATTATGGGACTGACAACATAGAATTGCATGTCATTTGACAAATACCAGCTCCAATTTAAACACTAAATAAAAAAAGAAAAAATATCAAAAAAGTTAATACAAATTAATTGACTAAAATATGACTGGCATGTGTGTTTCTTTAAACATTTTAAAATTTTAAAATTGCACAATAATGTAAAATATGTTTATTTAAAAAATGTGTATGGAGGAAAACTTTGCAAAAACTGTTTAGATATATTTTAGAGCATTTATATTACTAGATGTAACTCTAAAAATAAGTAGAAAACAACTAACTGGTCTTTATTTGACCAATTGGCTTTAGTCTGGTACCTGGATAAAAACTTAGTTGTTATCAGGGGATTGTGCAAATTAATTATTTAATATTTTAGGCACAAGATTTAGGAGTACTTGAAACAGAACAATTTTGAATAAAGACTCTATATGGACTTATTTTTACAGACTCATGAAAAACTACCTAAAGGTTTTTTACACAACAATACTTACTGACTGTGACTGATTCACTCCATATAAATTAACATACTAAATGCAGGACACAATAGGTCAAAAAATATATGTATAAAAAGTGATTGCACATTTTCAAGCCAACAAAAGTGATTTTCTAAAACTCCATGTTTATATGTGAGTAGAACAGTAGAGCAAGGAGGTTTGCCAAGACAGAACCAGATATGGTAAATCTCTATATGATGGTATAGTAGGCATTTAATAAAAGAATATCAAAACTTAAAATGATTGCATATGAATGTTACATCACTCGCTTTCTTTAGTGAAGAGTCATTTTTTATGGATGATCCCAAATAGCATATGATTTATATTTTTATCAAATTATTTTAATTGATTATTTTTTATTTCAATCAGTCGACTACAAGTGGCCATTTTATCTGGTTTGGCAATCTGTTTTCAAATTGTTATTTTAATTTTTGGAAAAAAATACAAAGCAAATTTTTAATATATTTTATAATAGTGTCAAATGAGGATAATTTACAAAAAACCATTGTTATTTAAGCTTTGTCTAAAAATCTTCAATAAATCCTCAGAAAAAAAAAAAAAAAAAAAAATAGTTTTTTAAAATTATTTTGAAAGAGATAAAAACTTAATGACAGATTTTGGATTTGAAAAAAAATAGTATTTTGTTTAAAAGTTATGAAAATAAAAAATAATTATTGTTCCATTTCGGTAATTTATATTAAAGTTAAAAAATAATATTTATAATACTGTAATGCAATATTTATACTAAAAAATTTATAACTACAATATAATTGTGTGAATTAAATCACAGCAAACTATGCAAAGTTTAGAGAAAAGATCCAAGTAAAAATATTATTGGTTCAGGAAAACCATTTTATTTTCATCCATTTTAAGTCCAGAACAACTTATAATCACATTTTTTTCTAGATTATTTTTGAAACTTTTATGATTTGGTTTTTACATGTTTGTGTAAACATATTGTTAGTAACATCAAAACATATTGTTAGTAACATCAAAATAATTTGAATAGTAACTATTGCCTGATGACTAAGATATTGTCTATTAACAAGTAAAAGATAATTCTTTAGCTATCAAGCATTATAAACTTTGAGTAAAATATTGATAAATAATATTTGAAGTAAAACCCAATTATTTTTCCTTATTTTTTTTTATTAATGCTATGTGCTTTACAAGTATTTATTTCGGAAAACAGTCAAAGGGAGAGGGGAGAGTAAGAATATCTGTAAGAAGTTAGACATTATAACTTAAAATAAAATTTTTTTTTCTAAAAAGCCTTAATAATAAAGGAGTTTTTTGTTGGATCTAACATTTGATTATAACTTACCCAAAAAAGGTAGCATAGAAAATATTTAAGCTAACTGTAAATAAGTTTTTGGAAATGTTTAATGACAATAATTTTATATGTTTATTGCAGCTACAATAATAAAAATATTTACATTAAATTCTTTAAGTTTTGAAACTTTTTACTCAAACATCTAGACATTTTTTTCTGACAATGTGATATAAGGGAAGAAAAGGGGGAAAGTTTTAACAGGACATCAATGTGATGGAAAAGCACTAATAAAGCTTACTACTGAATAATATCAACATAATGAGTGACTGATGCATTGTCGCATCACCAAAAAAAAAAAAAAAAAATGTATAAACTCAAAAAAATAAGCTAAATGAAATGGTTTAAACAGATGAAAAGAAAAAATACTCAAAAATAAACACAAATAGTGTATTTATTGAAGCGATATTTAGTATGTTAAGTGATTAAATTTATTGACAATATTTGTAAATAAATTTAATCAGTACAATTTAGTACAATGTCAGACTTTTAAATACAATCAAAATCATTGTGCAAGAGGTAATATAAAAAAATGACTACAAACAATATTTTTGTAACATTCAAATATTAACTTCAATAAAAAAAAATTAAACATACCATATTTTTGTAACATTCAAATATTAACTTCAATAAAAAAAATTAAACATACCATATTTTTGTAACATTCAAATATTAACTTCAATAAAAAAAATTAAACATACCATATTTTTGTAACATTCAAATATCAACTTCAATAAAAAAAATCAAACATACCATATTTTTGTAACATTCAAATATTAACTTCAATAAAAAAAATTAAACATACCATATTTTTGTAACATTCAAATATTAACTTCAATAAAAAAAATTAAACATACCATATTTTTGTAACATTCAAATATTAACTTCAATAAAAAAAATTAAACATACCATATTTTTGTAACATTCAAATATTAACTTCAATAAAAAAAATTAAACATACCATATTTTTGTAACATTCAAATATTAACTTCAATAAAAAAAATCAAACATACCATATTTTTGTAACATTCAAATATTAACTTCAATAAAAAAAATTAAACATACCATATTTTTGTAACATTCAAATATTAACTTCAATAAAAAAAATTAAACATACCATATTTTTGTAACATTCAAATATTAACTTTAATAAAAAAAATCAAACATACCATATTTTTGTAACATTCAAATATTAACTTCAATAAAAAAAATTAAACATACCATATTTTTGTAACATTCAAATATTAACTTCAATAAAAAAAATTAAACATACCATATTTGCAAGTTCTGGATAAAAATTATTAATGTACAATAAATTAGTCCACCAATACTTGACACAAGATTTAATTGGTATACTGTCTTCAGTTTGTGTGTACCAAAGAGGTCCTTCGCTCAGCAATGGAAACAGATAAGCATAAAAGAATGTTGCATAAATGTATGAAGGTGTCAACCTATTAAAAGATAGATATAAAAATTTAAGCTCGACATTAAAAAAATTATATTATTTTTTGCAAAGACTGATATTTTCAGCTGAATTGCTTTTTAACCTGTATTAACTTTTATCTCTTAAAAAAAATCTTACCCAACAAATATCTAACTTTTGGCCACCACTACAATAAAAAACTGCTCATAACTACTATAAATTTTAATTATCTTACTTGTGGCACTATATAATCTGCTTGTTGATAACTAGAATTAAAAAATCTTCAGAAATGCTAAGAATGAGATAAAAGCAGTTAGGGCTCTCCATTAAAAAGGTTCTTAACAAATTTCTAAACCTTTATACTAAATTTTTATCTTCTTAATAATAAATAACATAATCTTGTAATTTTTTATTTAAAAAATTAAAATAAATTTCTTTTCAAATTTAAAGTTTAACAAATGCAATATGTCATCAGGTAAATAAAAAAAAAACATGAGGTAAATAAAAAAAATAAATAAATAAACATTTTAAATAAGTATAAAGTAAAAGGTTATTAAAAAATAACAACTCCTAATTGATGAAAGTGTCTCCATAGTGACCTTATCTAAGATCAAAATCATGTTTTTGTAAAACTACGAAATATAATATTATGTAATAACTACAAAAACATGATTTTACAATAAACAGATTTGAAAGAGATTTCAAACAAAACAAATTTCATTTCAGATTTTTGAAAAAAAATTTAAACTAATGTAAAACTATATTAATTATCAAGCAAAACATCAAGCTAACATTAAAATTTAGTTTTTTTTCCTTTATGTATTATTTCCACAATATTTAAGCTGCAAAATACAGTGTGTAAATTAATGTGAATATCGGTTTGCAAACAATACCTTTTAAACAAAATAAAACAGTGTCAATTAAATATGTCAGTTTAGACATAGTTAATTATTAAAAGGCTTTTAATAATTAACTATGTCTAAACTGACGATTGAATCTTTATAAAATTTTTGTTCAACTTTTAAATCAATTATTATTGAATCTATTCTAGTATACCTTTGCAACTGGACCCAAAAGTTCAGTTACTTTATGGAACATGTACAGCCGTATTTTTTTGTTCAACTTTTAAATCAATTATTATTGAATCTATTTTTGTATATCTACGCAACTGGACCCAAAAGTTCAGTTACTTTATGGAACACGTACAGCCGTAAAAGTCTCAGGAAAGCAGAAGACAAAATCATATTAGAGTAAGTTTTAGTTGAGTAATTATCAGAACAAATGGACAGGTGCCCAATCTAAAAGCAAATATATAAGTTGGAGAAATATCACTTATTGATTACATATACATGTCTATTCCCATTAGTAATATAGGGGCAAGTCAGATCAAGCTCACTTTTGTAGAGATATATTAGTCCAGTCACTAGTGGAACATCTTAAAGACTCAACATCACCATTTACATAAAAATATTTTCTTTATTAATTTGTTGTTTTTTTAATTTCATTGGTTGTTTTTTTTTAATTGTTGCATTTTTAAATTAAGTATTTTCTTAATTAACCATTAATTTGCATATTTCATTCTCTCCAAATATGATGGTAGAATGAAATTAAAAAACTTTTAAAAAAATTATTTGAAAATTATATATTTAAACACACCTCAATATTCTCTACAACTTAAAAAGAAAAGTTTTAACTAAAACTCCTAACTATTTTATTTTTTATTTTTTGAATGTTTTATTTTAAAATTATTTATAATTGCTTTATAATAGGAACCATAGCACCAACTAAATAAAGTAAACTATTTGTAGGTCTATTTTATTTGGCCTGTCCCTGACTACCCTTGAGATTTGAAAGACAAAATCTATAAATAGCTGACAACATTGTTCTACAGCTACCAGAAAAGGGACCTGACGTTATATGACTAAAACATGCTATATCTCAAAATTAATTGTCCTACCTAAGGTGCCCTGTTCCAGATTGGGTCACATATTACTTACTTGTGCTGTTTTGTTTTTACAACAAAATATAATTGATTAATAATAATTCAAAAAAATTTCTATGCTTTATTAATAACTTTATACAGTTTTATATTAATAACTCTAGAAGGTTTTATATAGTTTATTTTGTTTCATAAAAACTAGTGTGCTTATTTAATTTTTATTTTATAAAATCAGGAGTTGTTTATTCTATTTACTTTTTGCTTCTTAAAAGATATGATGTTAATTTGGTACTTTTTTTATTTTATAAAACCATTAAATTCATTATAAGCTTGATTTTATTTCTTATTGCTTCAACAAAAACAATTAGTTTATTGAATTCTATTAAAAACTATGAATGACAATCCAAAAGCCTTGCTTGTCTCTGTCTGGAAAAAAAAATCATACACAGTGAATGACTTCTAAATGCTAAACTGTGGATGGAGGAGAAGGTTATATAGATTGCAAGAAACTTTTTAAAAAAACTTTTTTTAAAAGTAGCGGAAGGTTTATTAGGTTCTTCAAAATGTTATAATGTAGAAAAATGAAATAAGCTTCCTCGACAATCTTCACAATTATTTTTTACTTATAGTTAAAATAATAAAGCATTCACACTTTTTATTCATTCATATTGCATCCTATTTATACTGTATTTGTTTTTTTAAGTATAATTAAGAATAAGTTTATAATAATGAGACGCCTTACCTTAAATATCGATGTATATAAAAATGAAACAAAGAAAGATTTCCAGCCTTTTTGTACTGCTTCATACTTAAATATGCAACCAAAAGACCACTGTAATATAATAATAACTTTAAAAAAATAATGTATGCAATAAATTAAAAAAACACTAATTAATTCATCAAAATATGAATAAAAACTTTAATTATGATCAAGATAAAATTCATTTGAATTTAAGTTTACCTGAGAAGAAAAAAAGTATCCACAGATACCATTGCATTGTCTATTGCTTGAAATAGATATTGATTAGTCCAAGATACTGCAACTATGATATCATCTATAAAAATCAACTTAAAAATTAAAAATAAGAACACATTTCATAGTTTAATATAGAAAGAATCCTACCATAATAAGGAAGCCCAAAAATCAAAGAGTGACCAAGCATGACCCAAGTTATTGATATTACACGCAATCCATGGATTGATGTAATAGAATTATTAGGAATATTTGTGTCAAACAAAGTATGTAAATTTCTGATCATTGAAAAGCATAGAAAAAACTTGACTAATGCATTTTCTAAAAATAAAAAAATATCAATTTAGAATTTTTTCAAGATTTACTTTTTAAATAAATGTTTTAATATTCACCTGGTAAATTACAACTAGATGAAAAGTTCACTGTTGATTTATCACTAGTCTTTTCAGGGAAAACCGATGAATAAGGGTTTCTTTCAGTTTCAATTTCAGATGGTACTGCTTCATATGGAATTTTTGGCTGATATTTGGATAAATATCTTAGTACAACATCAATAGTACTTCCACAGAGACAAAGTGATGCCAAAATAATAGAAATTACTCTAAATAATGAAAAAATTAGTATGAAATATATATATATATATATATATATATATATATATATATATATATATATATATATATATATATATATATATATATATATATATATATATATATATATATGCATACATACACACACACTTATGCAGATAAAGAAACAAATTTATATAAATTATCAAAACGGAAATAAGTTGCCAATGAACGCTATCATAAATATAATATGCTAATAATATCTAATTATAAAAATCACCCCAATAATAAAAAAGGAGAAACTATTTTGATTTATATGGAAATTCTCCAAACATAAACCCTGATGTTTGAACAAATTAAAATAAACAGATCTTCCAACAGTTTCATTACACTAAAAGACACCAAAATTTTTACATAATCTTACTGTCCCTCTTATAGTACCAGCTAAAAATAAAGTTAGTAGAACAAACATATTTTATTCAACATTAACACCAAGCTAAGAAATATTTTGCAATTAAATAAGTGGTATAATACACAAAACATAATAAATTGGTTTGAAAATATCAAAGACAAACATTTTTAAAAACTCCATAATTAAGACACTCTTGACTTCGACTCCTATTAATGAAAAGCTTCTTATTGACTCTATTTACTTTGCAGAACAATATTACTAGCAATAATCAAGTATGGATTAAAAATCAAGTGGTTTTATTGGTGTCACTATGGGAGTACTTAATGGCGCAAGGTGTCCAGTTATTTTTCTTAATTTCCGGATTTTGCAATTTTATAGCAAGTGTGGTTTTGGATTAAACAGAGATGATGGCTTAGCCGTGTTTAAAAATGCAAGCAGTACAAAACTAAGAAAATTACTAAGATTTAATTTACAAAACAGTGAACTCATAACAAAAAATAATGACAGTGAACTCATAACAAAAAAATTCATTTATGTGAAATTTTACATATGAGGATGATAATAATGGGTTTAGATAAGTCTAATTAAACTTGGCAATATATACACTTAGTGGCAAATAAATAATGCCACTAAAGGCAAATTAAACGTTAAATAAACAATTCCACTAAACTATATGATACATAAAACATTGTTAGTGGTAAAAATTCCATAACTTGATTTTTTATCATTGCTGCATTTTTAGATTTTAGATTTTCATCTTTAGACACATTGTTTTTGTCATTATGTTATAAAATATGGTTAATTAGTAGATTTCTGTTCAAAAAAATTTTTTTTTTGTTTGATTACTTGAAAATGTATTTTGATTGTTCTTATGAAAGAAATAAGTTTATACATGTTATATATGCTTTTGACAAAAAAGTTAGTCACCCATGTGGGTTTTTAATTTTAAAAAAAACAACAACATGGCGACTAAAAATAAAAATCTTTTTGCTATGACCGCATAATTTTTTGGATAAAATTTGGATGCCATAAAATTGAAAACTAATTGAAATTCAAATAGGAAATCTCTTTGAAAACATAACAAACTGTATATCAAAAGAAAGCTAAACAAATAAACTCTTCAATTCAATAAGTTTTTAACACGGATCCTTTAATAACAAGAAATTAAAAGTTTTTAAAACCATTGTTTTTATAAATAGAAGCTAAAACATTAAGTCCGAAACTAAACTCATTTAATAAATAGAAAGAATATTTTTTCTTCAAAAGACTTTGGTAAGCCTCAAACCTTCAAGCTTTAGGAGCATCATCGATAACAATAGTTCATTAGGAAATAAACTATCACATTTAAAAACACAATTTGGAGAATCCTAAAGTGCAGACTATTCAAATGGGAATAGTGAAAACAACTAAATATTTTATATTTGAACATTGGTATTAATGACTTATTTTATTACATAAAAAACTTGTTATAAAATAAAAAAAATATTTTACAAATAGCAATTAGTTTTCTCGCTTTCCTGTGCATTGATTAAAGGGTAAAGTTTAGCTAAATATTTGAAAAACAAATGCTAAAGTTGTCCGTTTTAGCAAAATTTATTTCTAATTTCTAGTATAAATAAATTTCCTTAATATAATGACTGACAAAAGTTGTGATTATTTTAATTTTATTTAAAAAATTTTATTTAAAAAAAATATTTTTATTTTCTTTATATTCTCATCTGATTTTTCCTCGATTTTTATCAATTTTATTGATACAAGTCTTATTATATAAAAATGTGGTCAAGTTGTCCAAAAAATTTTCTCTAAACATGAATGAACAAGGCGTGCAACTGCACATGCTTTCAGGGAAGGCTTGGAGTTGTTAACAATGGTAAGTTGAACATCCGTTTCTATTTCATGGAACTGAACTTATTACCACTCCCAAAAATAAGGCAGAACTATTTGCAAAGAACTTCTCTTCTAATTCAACTCATGAATCTAAAAACAATACTCTTCCTGGGATGCTAGTTAAACAAGTTAACTCATTGTAAGACACCCAAATCACTCTGGCTTCTGTTGCTAAAAAAATGCCAAAGCAATTAAATTCTTCTACAGCTTGTAGTCAAGAAAATATTCCCGTCATAGTCTTAAAAGGGATCAAACAGAACTTTCTTTAATTCTTTCTAAATTATTTAATAAGTGCTTGACTAAATTTTGTTTTTCTGCCTGCTGTAAAATGATATCTGTGGTTCCAACAATAAAAAACTCTGGAGGCATTCTGACCCTTTGAACTACCATCTGATCAGTTTTATATCTATTACTAGCAATGTCTTTGAGACTTTGATCAACAAAGTTCTAACATCCCATCTTGAATAAAATAACTTACTGTCAGACAATCAATCAGTTTTCGATTTTTTCACGCTATGGCTGACTTGCTAACTGCTGTAACTAAAAGATTCTATCGTACTTTAGACGGAGCTGGCATGGCTATGGCTAATACTTTCATGTATCTGGGTAAATTTTTAAGATTATCAAATCATTTCTTTTTAAACAGCTATATTAAAGTCCTCAAAGGCCAACACTCTTTTTCATCTCCAGTAATTTTTCATCTCCAGTAATTTTTTATCTCCAGTAATTTTTGGAGTACCTCAAGATTCTTATATTTTCTCTAATCTAAATTAATTGTCTTCCGGATAATTTTACATTTCAATTTAAAAATTCTCCCTTTTTGCTGACAACTTAACTTTATAATCCTGTCTTGACAAAAAGTCTTTTTTGATCACTTAGAACAGAGAGCTAATCTTGAATCTGATCTCACTTCTGTATACACTTGGGGTTTTTGAATTTAAACTCTAATAAAACTTAGTTATTTAATGCAAACAACTATTGCAATACTGTTGACATTTCTATATTACTGAATGGAAACCCTCTTACTTAGTTGTCTTCTTTACATCTTCTTGGATTATCATTCACTACTGACCTCTCATGGAAACAATATATACAATACATTGCAAAGTCAGTATCCTCTAATATTGTTTTTCTTTTTTGTGCTTGCCATTAATCTACTCCTGATTCCATTCTCTGCCTCTACAAATCACTTATTTGTGCCCGTATGGAATACTTTTGTCATATTTGGTATGTTTCTTTTAACAATAGTCTTTTTCTTCTATCAGACAGAGACCAAAGTAAACATAGTTGGACTTGCTTTACTTACAAAACTTGTACAAATCTCCTATTGTTGTAAGGATTTACATCTTTTTTTCTTTTCTATCATCTTTAGTTCCACAACATCTATAGTTCCACAACAAAGAAGTTTCTTTTTAAGTCTTCTGTCAACCATTTCCTTGCTCTTTAACTCTATTGTTTGTATTTCAATAACTCCCAACAAGCAATAGTGATTGCTTAAAGTCTTGTTAGGAGTTAATCAGATTTAAAAAAAAACTTTAAAAAAAATAGATTTTTTTTTTCTAAATTTATAATAATATAGTTATTATTCTAATTAAAGGGACTACCAAGTCCCAAGACATGTTGTATTCATATTAAAGAGAATGTTAAAAAAAAAACGTCTGAGTAAATTTTTTTTGATTAAAACTAATTAATAAATGTATACCAAGAAAAACAAATCTTGTTGTTTTAGTCGAAGCTCGTCTTCTCCGTTTTCTGTGGTATTTTGAGTATGTAAAATAAACGCAATTTTCCAGGCGCATTATACAGACTTGATAAATTATTCAAGAGCATGACGCCATTGGAAACATTCTAGAAATTCTTTAAATATTTTACTATTAAATTTTACTCAAATAGCTAACTATAGTTACTTATTTTATTAAAAGTTTATTTTATTAATTGTTTGTTAGTTTTTTACAAATCTAACGAACAGTTAATTAAACCAAGCACTAAGAAAAGATATAAAAATTAAGAATATACTAATAAAATATATAATTTGTAATTAACTTTCAAAATTTTGACAATTTAAAAAATATATATTATAAAACATTTATTTTTGTAAACAAATGATAATAGTTTAAAAGTTTTTAGGCTTTACAGATGTGGCTCCGAGAATGAGCCATAACATTAAAGTAATAGTTCATTTGATAATATATTCTTAAAAAAATTTCTTCTAGATATCTCAAAACGCAACAAATCGTAAATAATACAATTCCTAAAACATTTCAACAGAATACTCTAAAACTTTATTTTGCTTAGTCAGCATGTTTTTTGAACCAATAGAATTAGTTTGTTCGCAAATTTGGTGGGTTTTTAGAGTTCGCGAATATTCTTTTTATTCTTCCGCAAGATGTTTTAAGAACATTCAAGTTAATTATGTTTCCATGTATGTCTGTAAAATAATAATTATTATATATTATTATATATTATATATATATATTATAAATATATATATATATATAATATATAATTATATAAATAATAATAATTATATATTATTATGTTTCCATGTATGTCTGTAAAATAATAATTATTATATATTATTATATATTATATATATATATTATAAATATATATATATATATAATATATAATTATATAAATAATAATAATTATATATTATTATGTTTCCATGTATGTCTGTAAAATAATAATTATTATATATTATTATATATTATATATATATATTATAAATATATATATATATATAATATATAATTATATAAATAATAATAATTATATATTATTATGTTTCCATGTATGTCTGTAAAATAATAATTATTATATATTATTATATATTATATATATATATTATAAATATATATATAATATATAATTATATAAATAATAATAATTATATATTATAAATATATAAATATAATATATAATTATATAAATAATAATAATTATATATTATAATATATTATATATATATATTATAAAATTATTATATATTAATTTTTAATTTTTAAGCCCCCGCCATAATATATATTGGATGTTATAATGGAAATATAAATAATGAAATCACCTCAATACCAAAAAATACATTTTTGAAAATCAGGGAAAAAACGTGGTAAAAATATTTTTTTTTAAATTTACAAAGTAAATTAATAAAAGTGCATTATTATTTAGGTTAAAATTTATTTTATCTAATATTTTAAAAGAAAAACTTATAACAAAAGAAATCAAAATACACGTGGTCTAGACGATTATTTAAAAAAAGTTGCGCAAATAAAATACTACTTTGTTTTTTATTTTATTTTTTTTAATTTTATTTTGTTTTTAATTTTATTTTGTTTTCAATTTTGTTTTACAAACACATTTTACAACTTTAAAATATAATAAAAATGAATATGATTTGGAAATTGTATGTAAAAAATAACAATTGGTGTTTTAAACAAACAAAAAAAACTATGACGTCATGCACTAAAACTCTTATGAATTAAACGCGCTTGAATAAATTATCAAGTCTGTATGATGCGCCTGGAAAATTGCGTTTATTTTACAAACTCAAAATACCACAGAAAACGGAGAAGACGAGCTTTGACTAAAACAACAAGATTTGTTTTTCTTGGTATACATTTATTAAATAGTTTTAATCAAAAAAAATTTGCTCAGACATTTTTTTTTAACATTCTCTTTAATATGAACACATATGTCTCGGGACTTGGTAGTCCCTTCAACATTAAATAATACAACTAAAAATTACTATAACTATACAACATACAACTAAAGTTAGCAAAAGTTGCAAAAAAAATAAATGAGAGAGATATATAACAGAGAGTTTTATACTATTATACTAAAAATATTGACATAACAAAACTATTTATTGGACGTACACCATCACTCTAGATCCTGTACTTGCTCCTGACAGAAAATCTTTTTTCCCATTTTTATAACAAGTATCGCTAACACCAAACAACTGAGATAATAATCCTTGATTAGTAATAGAAAATGCTGTACTATTCAAGTCCTTTGTTACTAAAAAATAAAATAGTTTTATTTAACTATATTTAAAACAATCATGATGATACTATCATTTTATACAACAACTCACGACACATTCATAGTATTCCAAAAAAAATCACTAAAACAACACTGAAATATTTATTTATTTTTACACACACACACACAGACACAGAGACACACACACAGATTAGAATGTATCAGATGCCCCCTATTTTCAAAAAAAAAGATCTGTCCATATTCTTAAATCTTTTTATTGATTCTCACAAGCAACTATGTTAAATTTTTCAAAATGTAATTGGGTTTAGGGAGGCCACCTCGAGTCTGAAATTTGCAAATTGACTTTAAATACCAAAAAATATATATATTTTTTACTGAGAAAAAATTTATAAATAGTACTTTTTTAATTTTTAGTTAAAATGTCATTTTCTTTTCACCTATCAAAATAGATATCAAAATAAAATCTTATTTATGTTATGAAAAAACGTTAGCAGATTTGAATTTGAGAGATTAAAATTTTCAAATCATGTCCCAGAAAATGGCAATTTGTTCAGGTGTTTATTGATAAAGCAAATTGAGTTATTTACAGACAATCAATTAAAATAAGTCATTTTTGCTGCACTAGGTGATCAACCTTCAGTTTCAGTTGTGGTAAAATTTACATACAATTATTTAATTCTGAAATCTGCAGACGTTTTAGAAATGAAACAGGTGCACTGACAAGAATAGCAGCAACTGTTTTAAAAAAATAATGCACATTTCATTGATTTTCTCAAACTTCTTGTGCCAACTAGAATTTATAGTTACATATGTGAAAACTACATATGTAACTATAAATTCTATCCATAGCCAATTTCAAAGACAAGTTATTTTTTATTTACTTAACAAGACATCCATGATATTCAAACACGAGAAAGAGGAATTTTTCCAATGGCTTTTAAAACTTGGCAATGAAATATTACCTGTTAAAGTAAATAAATCATTGTGCAGGTGCCTGCTGGAGGAAAATGATTCTATTACGGGAAAAGATTTTTGATGTCAAACTTTTGATAGTAAGTGGTTATTTCATAAACCCTTGCTTTTCACATGGACATGGCTGTGTGCTTGAGAACAAGATTAGTTAATAGTTTGCTTTTCAAAGTATATAAATATACTACAAGTTATTCCATTTAACATCTGTCAACTAAACAATGTTGTATTTACAGATGCACTTAATTTATAAACAAAAACTGTTTAACAATTAAACACTTTTTAGTAAAAAAAATTAACAAAATCAATTCTATTTCTTTAGTTTATTTATTTCAAATGTTTTCTGGCATTAAAATCAAAAACTTTATAATCTTTGGATGTTAATTATAGAAAAATGAAAGTCATTATTTTTAATAGACACATTCCTGTTGGTGTCTACCATTATAAATGATTATTAGATAATCTTATTATTAGAACTCAATACTTCTACGACTAAACAACAATGACAAAAAAACAAGTAAATTGGTTTCCAGTTTTTATATGTGATGACTTTTTTCCTTGTATATATATATATATATATATATATATATATATATATATATATATATATATATATATATATATATATATATATATATATATATATATATATATATATATATATATATATATATATATATATATATAGAGTTGCAACCCCAAAAAAAACGGTGTGTTTTTTTTAAAAAAAACACGTTTTTTTTGCAAAAAAAAACAGACTGGTTCTAAAAACATGTTTTTTATAGTTTTTTTTGCTTTTTTTTAGTATTCATTAAATTTTAGATAATAATAATACTTGAAACAGTTCCAGTGCCCTTAAACCTACAAAATACAAATGTTTTCTATTTAATAAAATGCATATTAACTTATATAATAGCTGTTACAAACTAATCACCAATATTAAAAAAAAACAGTATTAAATATTTAAAAAAGTAATTTTTTAAATAAATCTCAAAAAAACTATACTATTAGCTACTAGTTGATTGTAAGTATAATACTACTGAATGAAGGAAATAAAAATGTTATTTTAGCAGTGTTATTTCATTCATAAAAATGAATGAAATAACACTGCATTGCAAAATACAAAAATGAACCAACTGTTAAATAAAATTTACTTTAATGTTTTATTTACTTTTGTATATTACTTTTTTAAATTTTTAATATTTAATTTCTTTATTTTATTTTAAATTGCAATTAGATAGCTAAAATTTTATTTATTCAAACAATATTCAAGTAAATAAAAATAACACAATGATTAAATTTGTCTAATGAAAAAACATTTATATTAAACAATTTGTAATCTATTAATTATTTTTAATTAAAAAAAAAAAAAGAAATTTAAAAAAAAGAAAGAAATGTTTTGTAGCTACATTGTTCAATGAGGCACCTTTAGAATCTGGAGGTTCTAAAATTCAACAAGTTATATGAAAATTTTGCAGCTTAAAGCTATCAAAAAATGGCACTCGAATGACTGAGTACATTGCAAAATGTATGAAATGTGGCGATCAAATAAAAAACAAATATTTGAACAATATTCCTTTTAAACAGAAGAAAGTTCAAACTGAACTAATGATGGAAGAAGATATTCCTGAAAACTTACCTATTCAAGATATGAAAAAAGAGAAAAAAATATGTTTATCATCTGCTATTCCACAAGTTCCAATTGAGTCTTTCTTTCCAACACCAAGCTGTTTTGGAAACCAAAGTAGGTCTACAACCCCTAAGTTTGGAGACTGTAAGGCAAATAAAACCAAATCAGATAAGCCTCCCTTAAAACGATTGTATTCTTCAACAAGAGTTCCATTCACAACTCAGAAAAATAAAATTGCATCCTACATTTTAGGAGAGTACAAGAGTTTAGAGTCAGAGTTATCAAGCGACTCTGAAGAATACGGATTTGACTTTACAATAGAAGACCTTAATGAACAAGAAAGCCAGAATACAGAATCTGTTATTAATTAAAAATAAATCTTTTAAATGATGTACTATATATTTACCATATATCATGTTATTAATATATATTATATTACATTTATAATAAAAATAAAAATTAAATAAAAGTAAAAAAATTTTTTTTTTATCTAAAAAACAAAAAAAACCATAAAAAACACAAAAAACACAAAAAAAACATGTTTTTTTTGCAAAAAAAACACAATTAAAAAAAAACAGTTTTTTTTGCAACTCTATATATATATATATATATATATATATATATATATATATATATATATATATATATATATATATATATATATGTATATATATATATATATATATATATATACCTCGACTACCCCCACCCCCTTCGCCACAAAATTGTAACACTTAAGTGACAAGTTTTGTATGAGTTGTCACAAAACCACCAATACCCCCTTCCCCTAATAGCGTGACATAATTATGGACAACCCCTTTAACATCTTTTCCCTTATAAACTTTTCGTTTTAACTACCTTTTAAAATATTATTGGCTTCCACGCAGAGATTTAAAGTTATTTAAATTCAAAAGTGCTTTACGTTAAATAAAAATCTCCACGCGAAAGAGCAAATGATCATGCTTCTATTCGAAAGATAAATTTAGATTGACTTACTAATATATATATATATATATATATATATATATATATATATATATATATATATATATATATATATATATATATATATATATATATATATATATATATATATATATAAAATTTTATTTATTCTTTGAGATTTATCTAATGATGCGCTTATGCTATAAAGCAGAAAAAATTTGTAAATAAATTTATTTACAGATTGCAGCATAGATTTTAAATTGGGATGATGTGGAGTGAGGTTACATGCAGAAACTCTTTATAATATTTCATATTACATATCTTACTGTGAAAATTTGGAACACAAGAGTGGAGAGGGCGGCAAAGTTTACTGCAGCGACCTATGTTGTTAAAAAGATATTTTTTGTTCATTTTTCGTTATATCATTAAAAAATTGTAAATAAATTTTGTTGTAATAATATGTACTTTTATTTTGCTTTTTTGTTATTATTTTGCTACTCCTTATTTAAAAATAAAAGACTATTTTAAATTAAAATAACTATTTTTATCAGTTGAATAAATCGGAACCTTAATAAATGGGAAAGTCTGAAGTATTTCTAAAATCTATTAAACAAGTTTTTTTAATTTCCAAAAGTTTATTAAATTATAAAAATACAAGGAGAAAATTGTTAGGATCACAATTTTTCTTATCTATGATGGAAATACTTAAGTTATTAACGTCTTTACTAAATTCAGCCTGCGCATTTAAGAGGGAAGAAACAATTTTCTTTCTTGAATTCAAAATAATGCAAAACTTTTTTAAAATCAGGTATTTACATGAAAATTTTAATTTCTACTTAATTATTCAACATTTTTAATTATAAGTTATCAAGTATTAAACGTTAACTCAAAGCCAAGATAAAGCGTTATTATTTTCTACCAATTTTTCAAATCTATTAGAATAAATAGACTAAATAAAGAATAAGCATATAAATAGTAGGTGTGGAACATAAGCTTATCATGATTCATTTTACAGACCTGGACAATTTCTTAGACCTGGACAGCTAGTACTATAATAAGATCTCAATAATTATAAATTTTGCAACACAATGTTATTTTATTCATAAAATAAATTTTTTAGATAAACCTTATTTATTTCATTAATTAATAAAAAAAAAAAAAAAAATATTGTTTATATTGTTTCTGTATTTAAAAAAAAAAATGTTATTTTAAATAAACATTTTTTCTTTTGATTTTTTTCTTTACTTAATATATAGTTAGTAATTTTAGAACATTTGAAACAATTGAAATTATTTGATGGGTAATTCAAGAATTTATTAAACAATACTGAAAAAATGGTATGTAATAGAAGAATAAAAACAAGACTTTACATAAATATAATCTAAAATCAAACTTTTAAATTATTTTAGTTTTATAAAAAAAGAAAAATAAGCTTCATTTATTTGATTTTTTTGCATAAAAAATATTTTTTTGATACAAAAAAACAACAACAAATAAACAAAAAAAATGATTTACATCTTTTAGTGACACCTAACCAGATTTATAAAGGTGACACCTAACCAGATTTATAAAATTAATACACAACCTAATTTATACAAGTGACACAATAACCAAGTTAATTAGATGACACCTAACAATTAATACATGTGACACCTAATCTAATAATACAAGTGACACCTAATTTTTAAATAATTGTAAATAAATTTGTAATCCTTTAAATATTATTCTTACATAAAAACATATTTTTGGAATCAAAAATTAAAAGCAAGTACAAATCAAAACAAAACAAATTACTTTAAACATTAAACAAACCATTACAAAAAAAAAAAAATTTTTTGAATATTTATTTACAATATTTATAATTATTATTATTATAATTACAATATTAATTTTTTTTTGAACATTTATTTACAATATTTATAATTATTTTTCCTTTTTTTTCTTCTTTTTGTACTATAACTGCCAAGAAGCATAACTGAAACAAACTTTTTCTTCAATATTAGTTTTATATTTTAATTAAATTCAAAATGTTAAAACAAACTATTTAAATTCAGAACAGACAAAAAAAACTTTCCATAAAACATTTAGAAATAAAAAAATTGATACTTTACTTTCAATGGTTTTTTGTATAGTTCTTTATGCCTATTATGAACTATAATAGTTTGTTTTTACCTACGTAGGCAAGTGGCAATAAAATAACCACCAGAATAAAAGCAATAACACTACTGTAATAAAAGAATAACGTTGAAAAGATAGAGCTAGAATAACACTGAAAATAAAAATTAATTTTTGTTCATAATTGTTATTCAAGATTTTGTTGTTATCAAACAGATTAATAACATTTAAACTCAAATACAAGTATTAAATCAAAAAAATTAAGCTTGAGAAAACTATCAAAAAAGATGACAATACTTAAACTATAAAATATATAAACATGATCCAATTCTATAATTTTTACAACTATAATTTATAAGGCAATTTATGTGTATCTTATTGCATCTTACTCATATAATTGTGTTGCCTAAGGCAAGTTGTGCAACAAAATTATACCTTCAGACCCTTGAAATTAAGACAACTGATTTAATCCCACTATATCATTGCACCATTACTGTATAAGTTGATAAAAAAGAAACCATTTCTTTTTATTATTAAGACAAAATATAAAAAACAACATTTTGTATTGTTATAACATACTGTGTATAACTACAAGAATTTTACTTACAATCAGCTACTCCTTTTAAAAAATTGACTAAAGCTGTAGAGGTACAATTTTCAGGCATACAAACACCAAGAGTGAAAGACTGAAATTTTAAAAAATTAAAAAAGTAAATTTAAATAAATAAGATGACTTTAATGTAATTAATTAATTCTAATTAAAATATAAAAAAAAAAAAACTATTATATATATATAAATATATATTTATATATATATATATATATATATATATATATATATATATATATATATATATATATATATATATATATATATATATATATACACATATAATAATATATATATACATATTAACTGTTACCAACCAGTTTTTGGGCAATCACGATATCTGATAATGTACAAAAATGAAAGGCTGGCAAACTCATACATTCTGAGTAACTACCAAGCAAAAAGGTATTACCATTTCCAATCCCTGCACCTAATTTTCCCATGCTATCAAAATCTATAAAAAAATAGATATGTATCATTATATCAACAATTTCAATGCCTTTTTAAAATTCCTAAAAATAAGTGTTGTTCAATTTAAAAACAGTGTCGATGAGACCATTTTGTCACAAACATTTTACTTGCTCACAATAAAATCATATGAACAAAAACTTTTTCCTTTTTTTTTTAAAGACCTTTGATATCACCAGTTACTAAAACTAGCTAAAAAAATTTTAAAAGTTAATTTAACAATAGTTATAATAATAATTAAGTAAATACAACAAAAGTTAAAAACTTCTAGGAACAGGAAATTTAACCCAGCTATATTAGACTAAGAAACAATTGAATGATTGCATTTGTTTAAATTATTTTTAAAGTAGTTAACTTGCTATGAGGCAACAAAAAAATCAGGTAGACAATTCCAATCAGGATTAACAAAGTTGCATAGAAAATTGTGCCTAGCAGAATACCTGGTAATCTATCAGTGGACACTTAGTGTTTAGCACTAAGCAGACCAAAAAAAGGAACATTATCTTTTAACAAGGCAAAAATAGGTTTTTGCTATTTGACTAGTAGCACACCTCTGTACCTGTTTAAAGCCCTCCCTGAGGAATGGGTGTGAACCCTAAGAGCTGGTGTGCATTATTTACACAGAGACTGATCATAAGCTATGTAGAATTTAAGAAACATGCACACACACTTTTAAGCATACCTAAAGCAAAATTGATCTTAAGTGTTGCTTGGTTTATTAGATCAGTCTCTGTGTTTATATAAACTCCAAGTGATCTTTCAATGCAGAGATTTTACAATTTAGTATGATTGCCAGGTATGTCTAACATGTAGAGAAGGTTATTGTGGTTGAATCATCAGCAGTATTGTAGTTGAACCATCAGCAGGTTTAAAACTTCTATTAAACTAATCCTGCAATGCATATACCACAATCTATACCACTTGCATTTTAACCTTATCACGGTTAATAACAAAAACACTTTTTAATTTTGCTAACATTTGACAATCATGAGCAAAGAGTTCATAAAGATTTCTGACATGTTCTGGCACATCATTGATAAAAATATGAACTAATAATATAATAACAGAACCCTGGGTTTTACTCAGATTGGATTAAAACATTAATCCAACCTGAGTAAAACTAAACTAATACTACATGCTGTTTCCAGTTACTAAGAAATCAAGAGGTAAGAAACTCTATCAAATGGGTTGGCAAAATTTATGAAGTTCAACAAGAGTACATTTATTAACATGCTTTAGTATTGATATCTAGTACCAAAAGACTAGACAAATAATTTTGATTTAAGAAACTCATTCTAATAGGGTTATAGGAGGTGGGATGATAAGCAAATGATCAGCTTTCATATCACCTACAACCTTCACCATTAATTTGCAAACTGCAGTGTTTAGAGAGATTAGTCTCTAATTACTTTGATACTTTTATGAACCTTTTATTAAAATTGGCATGAAGCTTGCCTGCTTCGGATCAAAAAGGACCTGAACTGTTAAAGTAAATCAATAAAGAGTATTTAAAGTATGCTTCTACTGCAAGTTTTCAATACTAGCAGATGAACCTTATGAATACTAGTTCCCTTTTTAATATTAGTAAGAAGTAGTTCAACTTTACTTAAACTAAAAAGTGCATCTTAATTTTGTTCACAGCCAGTTTCAGGGCAAAGAGATAAGCCTGGAATAACTGAGTTATCACTTGGTTTAGAAAAGACTTTTTCTTGACTATTCAGGCAATCAGCAACCAATTTTTTTATATTTAACAAATTAAACACCATCAGAGTTTAAAAGTAATTGGAATTCACTAATACAATATATGGGTGTTTACATTTAAATAGAGCTTCTTGAAATATGATTCACATGTTTTGATTATCACATATAAATAATTAATTAAACAGTTTGTGCAACTAATTTTAATAATTGAAACAATCAATTTTACTTGTTGTACAAAGACAAAGTTAAAAGTTTTACCTCTTTAATCCATCTTAATCTCAACAATGAACCATTTTGAATGCATTTACTAAGTTGAACAAGCTGGGTCTCTTAGTAATTGTTTACTAAGTGAGTTGCAAGATAATTTAAATGATTTGAAACATTCATCTGCCAACTTATTTCTAAACTCTACTCAATCTCTTCCCAATCCAACAAATCAATAGCTACACTAAAAACATTAAAATCACCTTAATATATAAAATCACACTTGCATCACTGGCATCATGAATTTTTAATTGGTCAAATAATTGACTTTTTTTATAAAGAAAATCTCAAGAAATTAAAGAAAGAACTTTTGCAACTTTCATGTAATGTAAGTTAAAAATTACATGACAAAGTTATGTTTTTTCAAATGTTTTGTCAAAAAACTGAAAATTTTCATCAATATATGCATGTTGATATGTAATCTTATGTTTTTACATTTAAAGTTTCCATTAAAGATGCTTAGTTAAAGCACATTTTAATTTTAAATTTGTTTAATTTTAGTTGTTTTGCAAATTAACTATAATCATTATTTTTGTTATATTAGCATTTGGCACTTTTTTAAAAGTGTTTTTTAAATTTACATGACAAAGAAACAGTATTTAAAATTGCTTTTGTATCATTAACGCTTATAAATAAATAAAAAAATCTCTTGGTAAGAGAGCTACCAATTATCAGTATAAACTTTAAATGAATGAAATTTGGAACTATAAAAACTTTGAATGAATAGAATCAACCGGCAATACTACCTCAACCATCAATGCTACTTGATTTTAAACAATCACTTCTAATAATAGTTAATACTTTTTTAAAAATAAAATATTTTTTGGCAATTTAAATAAAAGACAGTGTTGAAAATACTGGCAGTTGAACACAGTTTAAATAAGAATAATTGTTTTTTAAAGGTCATATTTTAAAGGAAGTAAGAAAAACAGCTTTTCTAGGCTCCTAAAGTTGCATAGCTAAACATGGTTTTTCTGAACTAACTAATGGCCTAATATGGGTTTGGCTACTTTTTATCTGCTGCTAACATAAAACTGATTTTTCGTATATTTTCAGCACACCAATATTTTTCGTTGCAGAGATATGAGCTGATTTCAGTGGAAATTTTGATAATGACACGTTAACATAAGTGATGTAAATTAAATTAAATATATAGTGTCAAAATAACTTATTTTCCTTAGTAGGTAACTTCTAATGGAATTTTTTCTTCTTCTTGTAATTGAATTCACAACATCATGTTATACCCATTTGCAGAAATCCGACATTAAAGTTGAAACATTTTCTTATGAAAAACATATTTTTCATTTTAAAAAGATTCAATATAATATAAAAAATAAAATCCAGGAAATCTAAAGAATACCTGAAAAATGGTGTTTATATATTAAAATTTAGAAGTAATTTAGAAAAATGAAAACATACATGGAACAGCATTGTTTTTCAAATTTTGAAAACCTTGCAAGCATGGATGTTTATTATCACCAGCCG